GGTGCTTGTCATGGACTCTTGAGGTATCAGACATTTGCTCCACACGTGGGCTGTTCGAATAAACTAGGTCCTCATCCTTGTTCCATCGTCGCCTACTTGTGTTAATCCGTTTTGGGTCCATGGCTCATACAGAACTTTGTCGCCCTTCCCGCCCCGGCGGCCGGGAGGGGGCTGTGTGAATTTGAGTTCCGGTAAATAGAATGGAAAGTTGTGTGAGAGTAGATACGCAGGAGCCCAGAAGTGCAAGCTGAGGTACAGCATGCAATCTCATCTACAGGGGTGCCTGCATGGCCGCCAAAACAAGTCAAGAGAGCGCACGTCTCTCATGTAGATTTCAGCGTGAAGCCCCAAGACTATACCCCAAGAAAACAGCATGCAAAATCTACGAGCCATTGAAACTTCCAATCAGGATCATCTCAGCACCTCCAAAACAGATCACACGTGCAGCCCCCCGTGCAAACTATGTGTGCGAGCACGGTTTTTGGTTGATGTACAGCTCGGTGTGCATGCAGGAGGCTCGCAGTGGCGATGAAGAGGTGGTTCGAGTGGTGGGCAGGCCCAGTTCTGTTGTGCATTCGCCTCGGTATTTTGGAGTACTGAGGGTTCAGGATCGACATTGTTCTAATCATAAACCCTTTTCCCTACTAAACCTTGCCCCCGGAAACCCACGCATGGTTGTGGCTTTTTGATTCTTGCTCTCTATAGGTCCCAGAAGGGAAATAGGATGAGACTGGAGTTAAGCATATGGTCCTAATCTCGACAACTTCCATGTTAAATTCGCGAAACATACATATTGATTAGGTGTCCCAAACTTCGGGTGTTCAGTACCAGAGTAGATTCCGTCGTGTTTTGTTCTCGAGCTGTGTGGAGGTCTTGGGTGATCTGAAAGGGCGCACATGGGACTCCCAAGCGGGGCTTCCATTGTTTGGGCATCCTCACAAGAAGAGTCCTACCGTTTGTTGTTGTTCGCCTCCCTGTGTGTGAAACTTCCACATCGTTCTAGGACTAGGACCACTAATTAAGGCCCGTCTGATTCTGCACAGATCCTGGGACACTTGCCGTGCTACTCATCCTGGACACAGTTTTCGAATTTTCCAGCAGCTTCCAGAGTCGACAGCCTGAAACCCGAAACCTTAAATAATTTTGGATCCTACATAACTACCAATACTATTTTGGGGGTTCCTTATTGCAGTTATAGTATAGCATGCCCCAAAACCTTCTTCTAATTTTGAAGGCTACTATGGAACTGTTGATGGACAAAATCCTGCATGACCCATAATAAGGAATATACCATAATTCCCATAGTTTCGGGTCCTTAGGGTCATGCAGGATTTTGTCCATCAGCAGTATGACTAAGGTGGACATGATGCGCTTGGAGGCCAGCTCTGTCCTTCGCTGTGACATGGGTTTCTTGCAACCTGGGTTGCGCCATACTAAACCCTAACCCTAAACCCTAAACCCTACTGGTCCCTAGTTATGGTTTTTGGTACCGAATAAGGCCCCAAAGTCCTATAATAGGGAGTACTTGGACCCTCTGGGTTAGGCGTGTCTGCAGAGTTTAGGGGTTTAGGGTTTGGGGGTTTAGGGTTTAGGGCACTTATCCCTCTGTTAAAGTTCTGACTTGAGAGTAGGTCCTCGCGACTCGTGGCTTTGAGAGGTCCATAGCGGCCTACTGCCTGTTCCCAAAGCATAGCCGTGGTATAGGGAGCTATCACATACACTAAGCACCCATGTGCCCATACGGTGTAAAGTAGTGTAGACAGAAGACTTGTGCTTTGTTCTATGACGTACCTTATTCAAAAAAGACCCTAATGCCAACATATATCCCATGTCCCATGTAGGTTCGTGTTATGCGAACCCGGGATGATCCAAGTAGTACCCACAACCCATTAGTATGCCAGAGAGGTGTAGATACTCAGAGACTCCTAAGCAGCTTAGTTGAGGAGTATACCCTGGATTGCAATAGGAATCTCGTAAGAATCCAGGAATATTATGTGGTGCTCCTTGCCAGTTCCTAAACCCTATTCTAGGCGCGTGTCACTTTGCAGACGTTCTCTGACCCTAAACCCCATTAGCCACAAACCTCACAACTTACCTGCGGCTTTACTTTGGCCAAGACCCTCTTCCCATCCTTCCAAGTAACCTGTTGCTATAGCAATGTGAACGAAAAAGTGGTTAGTAGTTTCTCGAACCCTTTTCCCTAAACCCCAAACCCTGGCACGTAAACCCGAGGCCCCGAACTCAGACCAGGGTTCAGTGTATTTAGGGTTTAGATGTTGTTGGGTTTTTAGGGTTTGGCGCCTCGGCATCTTAGGTTAATTAGAAAATATGGGTTTAGGGTTTAGGTGTTTCTAGGTTTTTGAGGGTTTGGGGCCTGGGCAACTTAGGTTCGGAAATTTAAGTTCAGGGGTTTGGGGTCAGACGTTCAGCCACAGAAGCGTTTAGACCGCCTGCTGCAGCCATGTACCCTGGCGTGGTACACCCGGAACAAGGGTTCCGCCACTTCAAATGAAATCCAGAGCGTCCAAGCACTCCCTATTGTAGGACTTTATGTAGGGCCTTTTTGGGATTTTTTGGGTACCAAAACCATAAAATAAGGACTACTTGGACCCTTCGGGAAACTCGAAACACCGTACGATCAACTCTCCGCACTTCGGGCACTCAAAGACTATGAAGTCATGTACCGGCCATGCAAAATGTGCACTTCCTGCTGCACACATGTTCCAGCCGGGGGAAAAATCAGAAATGTGGTTTTTACAGGCTGCTCACCGAGTTTTGAGCTGCATGGCGGAAGGAGATTGTACTCCGAAAGCTCTTCGGGCATTTACTCTTGTCTCGTGGACCGACAAGGATGGACGGGAAACGGCGATACTGATGACGAGCAATCCCGCGTCATTGAGTTTAGGACGCTGGATTTGGCTTCCCTGTCGAGCCCGGGGCCCTAGAATGCTGCTTTAAGCCTGCAGTACCCCACAACAGTGAATCTAAAACTCGTAAACTCCAACTTAAACCTGAGCTCGTGAACCCGGAACCCTGAGCTCCTAACCCCGAACCCCAAAGTCCGAAAACTCGAACCTAAGTTCGTGAACCCGAATTCCTAACCCAATGCTTCCAAGGACCTTATAATTAGGGCCCAGGACCCAATAATCAGGTCCCTGGAAGCCTGCCTAAACTCTTACTGTAAACTCCTAAGCTCTAAACTGCCTAAACCCTAAACCCAACCTAAGACGCCTGATTAAGGCGGGCTGGCGAGACATCAAAAGTCCGATGCACTTACAAAAAAAACCAACCTAAGCTCGTGAACCCGAAAGCCTAAAAAGGTGCAGCAGTTTGGGACTGTAAACTCCTAAACTCTAAACTCATAAACTCTAAACCCAACCTAAGCTCCTAAAAAGGTGCAGCAGTTTGGGAACTACGCCTTCGACGGTGTTTTTGCACCGGGCAGCCAGGAGGAGGTCTTCGAGGACCGCTTTGGGGGCCTTCGGCTTAGGGTTTAGGTCCCTTTAGGGTTTAGGGTTTCGGGACGGTTTAGGTTCTTAAAGGGCTCCTTATAGGGATCTAAAGGGATCTGTGGGGCTTTGGGTTTAGGTCCGTTTAGGGTTTAGGGTTTAGGTCCTTTTAGTAATTTTAGAACTTCGGGTTTAGGGTTTAGGGTTGGCTTAGGGTTTAGAGTTTAGGGAGGGTTTAGGTCCGTTTAGGGTTTAGGGTTTCGGGTTGGTTTAGGGTTTAGGGAAGGTTTAGGTCCGTTTAGGGCTTAGGGCTAATGCGTGGAGGGGCAGGGGACTTAGTAAGGGTTCTCAAAGGGCTCCCTATAGGGATTTATAGGGTTCCTTAAAGGGATCTATGGGGCTTAGGGTTTAGGTCCATTTAGGGTTTAGGTCCGTTTAGGGTTTAGGGTTTAGGGAGGGTTTAGGTCCGTTTAGGGCTTAGGGCTAATGCTTGGAGGGGCAGGGGACTTAGTAAGGGTTCTCAAAGGGCTCCTAATAGGGATTTATAGGGTTCCTTAAAGGGATCTATGGGGTTTAGGGTTTAGGTCCATTTAGGGTTTAGGTCCGTTTAGGGTTTAGGGTTTAGGGAGGGTTTAGGTCCGTTTAGAGCTTAGGGCTAATGCTTGGAGGGGCAGGGGACTTAGTAAGGGTTCTTAAAGGGCTCCTTGTAGGGATCTATAGGCTTCCTTAAAGGGATCTATGGGGTTTAGGGTTTAGGTCCGTTTAGGGTTTAGGTCCGTTTAGGGTTTAGGGTTTAGGGAGGGTTTAGGTCCGTTTAGAGCTTAGGGCTAATGCTTGGAGGGGCAGGGGACTCAGTAAGGGTTCTTAAAGGGCTCCTTGTAGGGATCTATAGGATTCCTTAAAGGGATCTATGGGGTTTAGGGTTTAGGTCCGTTTAGGGCTTCGGGCTTACCTTAACCCGGAATAACCTCTTAAGGATTTATATAAGGAAATCATAATTAGGAACCCTACAAAGGCAGGTTATTCAGGGTTACGGTAGGGTTGAGGGCTAACAAAGATGTAGGGTTGCGGTTGAGATTAGGGTAGGTGTTTGCGGTTCAGGGCTTCGGGCTTCGTGATAGGGCGTAGGTGTTGTTTATCGGACTTGGGGCTTATAGCAGAAGCCAGAAAGTTGGAGCATCATCATCCTCATGCTCTGTAGGTAAAGTATACGGGATCCTAGCACTAGTCCTCCTAAAGTCATGTTCCACCTTTCTACTTTCTGGCTTCTACTATTGGGCTAACAAGGGTTCAGGGTTGAGGGCTTTGGGTTTCGGGTGTAGGGGCTGAAGGTTTTGGGTTTGCATTTGAGATTGATAGCGCCTGTAAAGTGTGGGGTTGACACTCCTGGTTCGGGGCTTTGGGTTTAAATGGGGTGTTGGGTTTTGGGTTGTGGGTCTAGGGCTTAGGATTGATTAGGGTTTGAGGTTCCCGTCGAAGGCTCTGCAAGGGTGATACATAATATATATTTTTTTGGCATTTGGGTGCTTTCAGAGGTGTCCGCTGCCGAATTTAGTTGCACTTCTCCCTGAATGGCAGAAAAGGCTTTGCCAGGGAGTGTCTCCAGAAACTCGGGGGCCCATGTACAATCGGCCATTTTCCGTCTTGGAAATCTTGCCACGCCGCCCGTAGTTCCTTAGGGAGTAGAAGCAGGGGATCTTTGACCACGACTGCGTTAAGCACACCACTACAACCCTGTTTCCACGCAGTTTCCCAGTCATCAGGGATGCTATACACTGGTGTGCTCTGGGTCCCGTTGTCTCCCTGGTGCCGCTTGACTGCGGCGTCCCAGTCGAAAGAATCGACTGTTCTGCGGAACTCTGCCATCGATTGCAGGATTTGAGACTCGCGCTGAGTCTTCGAAGTTCCTTGTACTCCATCTTTGGCAAGGCGCTGTAGGCCATCCCTCATCCCAACAAACTGCTGGGCGCTCCACTGGTCGAGGTCCTTGTCCGCGAACACCACTTCGGTCTCCTCGATGATGTACAGCAAGACTTCGCGGATCTCGTTGTAGTAGAGCGGATGCCGTCGCACCTGTCTTTCGATGGTCGCCCCAATCTCACTCGGCGAAAAGGGTCGAAGCAGAGCGTCGCAGATATCCTCATGGAGTCGCCGCTGCCACTGGTTCCAGTCTTCGTCAGACTCGTCCGTGACAACCACATCTCCAGCCGTCGGCGGAGCCGGCGTGTAGGCATCAGCTTCCTGCTTCCTTCGCCCTCTGCTGCCATATCCCGGCGGCACAGTCTCGGAGGGCACCTGGGATCGCTTAAGTGCCCGCACGCACTTTTTGTTGGCTCGTAGGTGATCCTCCAATCTGCCCGGGGTTCTGAAGTCCTTGTGGCAGCTCTGGCATATGGACCCTTTGAGAAATGCTCGGTACTCCGCTCGTCTGCCGTGTGTGCTGAAGAAGTGCACACTCAAGGCCGATTTCTTTCCAAAGGATTTGTCGCAAATGCCGCACGTCCACAAGGACGGTAATTGATCAGGGGCGTCGATCATCGGCAGCTGTCGGTACATGTACCATTGGCAGACATCAACAGCAGCAGCCTGTTTGTAGAGCTCAAAGTCTCGGTGTTGCTGTCTCTTTGCCCGCCGTTTTACAGCCTGGGGCTGGTCACGTAGGACATGCCACCACTGTGGCCAAGCCTCTGCGACCACACTGGGCCACTTGTCACTCTCGCCTTGAACAAGCCACTCAAGGTCATGAGTCACCTGCTGGCACCACTCTGCCTCATTCTGTAGCATTGCCCACAGAATTGGGGGGCCACGTCTTGCCAGGGATACCAGGGCAGATAGTCTACTTCTCCGTGCAAACATGCCCAACGTCCAGCATCCGGTAGCCCAGTGCGCCAACTGTAGCGGCACACGGAAGAGGTCGGAGCCAGGGATATCTCTACAGAGGAGCCTTCGGACAAGTCGGGAGAAGGCATCCTCCATCTTGTCCCAGTGTGGGCCCCTAGTTATCCACACCGCCAAATTGTGGTAGGTGGCCACGACAGCAGTCTGGAACAGTGCAGACCTCGTCTGCAGGGTCAGGTCTCTGTTCTGCAAAAGGAGATCCTTTGCCTGGTCGTAGGCAGCCGACGCCAAGGCTGTTCGGTGTCTAACTTCCAGGTGCAAATTTGCCTCCAAGTCGACCACACATCCAAGATGCTTGTATGAGGGAACAACCTGTAGGCTTTCCCGGATGTCATCGAGGAACAGTTCCGGCTTACCCGACTCAAAGGTGTCCCTTCGGGTCTTTTTGGCCCCTTGTCCGCGGACCTTGACCATCACACTGGTCTTGTGCCTTTTGAGGTTCGGGTCCAATCCATGTGAGCGGAACGCCGAAATGATCAAGGAGCCCACTCGTTTTGTTCTTGCGATCAATTCACTCGGCACCTCCGCCTGAATGGCGTATGCACTGTCGTCGGCCCACGTAGTGTCGAACGCGGGCTGCCAGTGCTCTGCAGGGTTTTGTGCAAAAGGTCCTTGTTCAGGCTCCCATGGCAAAGAGAAATTGATGTTTTCCCCTTCCATGACCTCATGCACACGGTACAGGATGCGGGCATATATCACCGCGAATACTGTGTCCGCCCAGGAGGCTCCTGGGCGTGAGCCCGCAGTCGAGCGGCAAAGAACCGTCCCATCTGTATACCGTGATGTAAACCGCGAGTCCCGCAGAAAATCGCGAACGGCTGCTCGAATGGGTCCGTCAATTTCCGCCATCTGTAGCATTCCGCCCTCCAGAATGAGATCACGAAGCTCTGCGACGTCAGATCCATCGAGTCCGAATCGATGGAAAAGTTTCTCCACATTGTTGTCAATCTTCAGGTCTCCCGTGGCGAGCTGCCTCACCAACCTGTAGTAGGCGGCCTTTGTGTCAACATAGATCACAGCCGTGGACAAACCTTGTTGGAGGCATCGTCGCAAATGTTCAACAATGAATAATGAAGGAAACAGGACTGGCATACCCTGTCGGCTGCCACAATGCAATGGATGCAAGAACTCATCCGATTGCGAGTGAATCTTAGCCCTCATTGTTCGGTGCATGGCCTTGCCGACAAAACTCGATATGTAGAGGCTACGATGGCTGTCAGTTGCACATTGGGCACCTGCACCTTTGTACGCCTCGTACAAGACGCCCCCACGCCATTGTATCGGTTGCCTGCCTCGTAGTAGGCTTTTGAGGTAGAGCGGCTGGATCATGGTCGCGAAATCGCTGGGGCTGCATCGGAGCAGGTCGCTTGGGATTCCATCGAGCCCTGCACATTTGTTTTTGGCCGTGGTCCTGAGTACTTGCTCAATCTCCCTGACGCTGGGCAGGTGCTTCCATTCCCAATCGTCCCGAATCTCGTCCTGGGAGTTCCCTGTTTCTCGCAGGAACCGTTCGGTAGTCAAGAGGTTGCCGGCCTCCTGTTCCCCGAAGAATTGTAACCATATTTGGTCTCGGTCCGCCATGCATTCTGCCTCCCGACCAGTGGTCGGGTCGAGAAGCTTTGGCAGGGCTCTACCCACCATTTTCCGGGACTTTGTGCCAAGCCCTGCTTGCTTGGCACGCTGCAGCAAGGCAGCTACATCACTCGGTCCTTTCGCAACCAGCCCACGCAGGAACTTGTCCTTCGCATCGGCCACGAGTCGGCGAATTCGGTAGGTGACCACTTTGATGGCTCCCGCCATCACTTCATAGAGAAGAATCTGCTTATTGATGCTGTGCGCGGCCTCTGGGGCTCTTCCGGAGCGCCACCGTCTCATCGCCTCACATAGCAAGGTCTTCCACATACTACGGCGATCTCGGGTTCGCCATCGAAGCTGATTCTTCTGTTGTCGTAGAGCCCATACCACCTCCGGGATGTAGGTCGCTCTTCCATGCTGTAGTGGTCGAGGGAAATGCTGTTCCAGGGTGGTACGCAGGTGTTGCTCAACTTGACGGCAATGGTCATCTGGGTGGGTGCACCAGTGGGGCTGACGGAAATTCCTGCACGCCTCACTGACAATTTCCTTTCCACGGACTGTGTTGAGCTTCTCCAAATCATAGCGAGGCCGCCGGAGTCGTCCCCTCAGCTGGCCTGTAGCCATGTCCCCGGTCAGCTCAATGGCCACTGCCCTATGATCCTCATTTGGGCTGCCATTGTCGATGGTTGCGTCGACATGGCTTCTTGCAGAACGGACCCATGCAGCTCCACCAACCATCAGGTAGTCGATGCGGCTTTCGACTCCGGTATGGTGGGTGTAGGTCGCGGAGTCACCCACATGGATGTTCGTATACATGGATGGTACCCACATTCCATTGTCCTGCAAGACCTGTGCCATCTTTTCACCCGTGCAGTCTGCTTCTTGGAAATCTAGACTCCCACTGACCTGAGGGTACTCCGTTGGAATCCGCCCATTCAAGTCAACACCACAGACGATCAACTGGAGATGCTTGATCTTTGTCAGGGTGCAGGCAAAGAGTTTCAAGAACTCATCTCTCTCACCTGGTTTGGTGCTGTGGGGGCAGTGTCCTGATAGCAGGGCCATCTTGGCTTGGCCAATCGTGACCACAATCGCCAGAAGGCGTGGGGTAGAACATACCGTCGTGATGTTGGCCTCATCCGGCCGAACAGTCTGTCCCTCGAAATCAAGAAGCCCCTGGGTCTTACTTAGCCAGATCGCTGTCCCCCAATGTCTCTGGGAGTCAGACGACAGACGAATGTATCGTTTGCTTTGGCACTGCCCTCCTGGCATCTTGGTTTCCTGCAGCATGATGACCCCATAGGCGGCGTGCTCGAATTGCTCCTCCATATATCTGAAATTACCGCCCAGGCCTTGGACATTCATGGTGCAGGCTTTGATCCTGAAGGAACTTCCACGCCCTTTTGGCGCTCCATTCGAGTTGTCCTCAATCGGTATGAGGTGCTCGGGTCGTAGTTGGCCCGTAGCAGGATTGGTTTCAGACCAACACAGAGCTCGATTGTGGATGTTGAGCGCTGCTGTCGGTCTGTTGGCAAATTCGAAACCCAGCCAGTCCAAGTTGGAATCCAGCAAGGTGCGGCACGCCTCCACAGGCGGCTCCGCGAAAGTCGCACCTCCCTTTGACGCGCTTTTGGCCACACCATCTGCCAGTTCATTCCATCCGTGGCCTGCATGTCCTTTGACATGCTCGATGCTGATGTTGACCCCAGCAGTTGCACGGATGGCCAGCTCCAGATTGTGGATCTGAACAGATAGAGCGTCGACAGGGGCCCAGCTACCATCGGCTGCTCGACCTGCCGCCAGGCAGTCCACATACAATCGGCAGTCGATGTGGGGGAGCATTGTCCTCGCTTGCACCACCCATAGTAAGGCAGCCGCGACCGCGACCTGCTCGGCTGTCAAAGCCGCTGGACCCGCCAGCGGCCACGGCGTCTTTTCGTTGCCAAGCAATTGGCCGCCGATGATGCCGAAGAGGGCAATAGCCGTGCCCCATTTTAGGAGGATAACGACGGCATATCCGCTTGTCCTCTGTTTGTCATTCGCTGACCCATCCGTATAGACATGGATTTGCGGCTGGCCTTCACATCGGCTGGTCAGCAATGTCTGTATTGGTTGGGTCTCGCGGAGGGCCTGCACAGCTGCATCATGTAGTGGAACTGGTTCAAGGTTCCAGGTCATCCACTCCCCCCGGCCATGGTTTGGACATCGACCACACGTCTGCACTTGTGTGGGGAAAAGGCAATGTAGTCGTGGTCAGGTCGTAGACTGGGGGATGGACAAAATCTTGTATGCGCAGCTCAGCTCCTTGCTCACTACTGTCCACGCCCTCCTGGTTGCGTCGGGGCGACCTGCTTCTGTCTGGCTCATTGACAGGGCGTGGGGGAGGAGGGCCGCGGGGAAAGTTGGTGGGTTCCTCTCCTGAGCTGGGCTCGGTGAGCTCACTGGATCCTGGAAGTGCATCGTGAGTGGCCGAGGAACTGGAGCTAGAACTATCATCGTCGTCATCTTCCATGTCGTCGGTCTCCTCCGGTGTCTCCCTCAGCTGTTCCAGGTAATAGACGAGGACCTCGCCACCATGGATGTCGATATTGTGCCCATCGTCCCTCGGTTCCCCTCCCTGTACCATGAGGGTCCATCCCTCAAGTTCAGGCATCTGCAGGGACTCGTAGTAGGTCGTAGGCTGGAACACTGTACCTTCAACTTGTGTCCACTGGGGGAACAGCCCCAAACCGCGAAGGTCGTTGAAGATGACAGGGGCGTCTCTGTCCCGTTGCTCAACTCCGTCCATGACGGCGATCTGCCCCCACACACGGCGTCCCAGGTGCGAAAGCCGTGGAATCCGTTCCTCCGGAACCACCACCCAGACATCGCCATGTTCATACTGAAGGGCTTCCTCCGCAGACACCTCCAATGTTCTTTCATCGTCCGAACTGATCTCCTCAATGACTTGATCGTCTGCAGACTGGTATACGGTGTGGAGGCCGTCCAAAGGTCCTGGTACATTGGCCCCTGGATTCCAAAGCTGCGGGTTATCAAGCCGTGATTGGAGGTCATCAGGCCAACGGGGTCGCGCACCCGGGCGCATGATCTTGATGACTCCTCCCCGCACCGGGTCGTAGGTTTGACCGCTTCGCATGGGCCTCTCACTTCCATATGCAAAGGCCTGCATACCTTCCGGCCATCCCTCCACCATGGTCATGAGGACATTCTGTCTCGTGATGGGGCCTTCAACATAGGCGGCGAAGATCCCCCCTCCAATGTCGCTTGCATCAATCACCTGGACGACCCTCTCCGTTGACTTCATCCATGGTGGCACCGCGACAAAGCTCGCAAATCCATCACCTATTTGCGGTGTGCACGGTACGTACTCTGAGGCGTAGTCCGGGATGTGCTGAGTCGTCTCAGCCACCGCGTGCCTAAGCCGTTCTTGGGTCATCGGGAAAAGCATCTCAACATCGATGACTTCCACCTCGTGATAAGGGGTGGCCACCCAACAGACCACATGAGCGCGGGCGATGTCCATCTCCATGGGGTCCGGGAAGGTCTCAGCCACCGGGATGGCGTAGTTCGGTAGTCGCACTCCACCGGCTCCATGCTCCAACGGTAGGTCATGGATCCATCGAGCCCAATTCTCGGCCATTTGTTCCTCATACGTCATATCTGCCACCGAACGTGGTAGAGGAGCTGCTCTGGACGGGCTGGGGTAACCGCTTTCCGGGGAACTGCGAGCCGCGAGGCTTGTTGGCCCCAGTGTTCCCAGCAGGCCCCATACCAAACACAGCCTAGGCTGTGTGAAGGTCATTCTTTTACGCACCTTGGTCGGTACTGCTGGTCTCATACAGAATGCTGCAAGGGCAACCAGGTTGAGGCCGAAGAAGGTTAGTCCCCAGCCAGCACTGATATCCGCCATATCGCTGCACCAATCTGTAAGGATTGCCGCCCCACCTGCAAGGAGGTCGATGATAGGCAGGGGGATGTCATTCATGTTCTCAGTCTCGCCCCCGCGGTCGTGGCCTCCCGAAGGGCCGTGCCCGGTCGAGACGACATAATCCTCACCCTTACCGAGGGGTCGTCCTTTATCTTGGTCGTCTTTCCTCACGTCATCAACCTCACTACCTCGTCTCATGGGGTCCGGGATGTCCCTCGGTCGCAGAGAGGCTTCGATGCTGATGACATCATCAAAATTGGTCAAGTTGTCCAGGTACCTCCTGGTCTCTCTGCTATCGTCATCGACCTCAGCATCATAGCACAAAGGGCAAGAACTAGCCCTGGGTCTCGAAGAGGTTCCAATGTTGGCGACAGCGTCAAAATTGTTCGTGCAGTCCGGTATGACAACTTCTTGTATCCCAAGAAAGCTGTCCCTTCCATCCTGCCTCATAGTTTGGCACACAGCATCAGACCGGCCGAAAAAGCTGATGCTGCCTCCTTCTTGGGCATCAGTGGTAATACTCATGATTCCACGTGCCCTTCTCCACTTGCTCCAGCACCGCCACCCACAAGGTCCCCGATCTGGAGGTCTTCGTCGGAGGATAGGACGTGGGCCAAGGCCTCGAGCTCGGCTTCCCTCTTCGCCTCCAACTTCTCGGCAAGACCTGGTCCTGCATGGGGGGTCTTCTGGGCCTGTCTGCCAAGCATCTTGACCGGGATGAGTGTAGCCGTCCTGGACTTGGATCGTCGCAGTCCTTCCGGAGTCGGGGCATTGGTTGTGCATGTCGGGGACCTTGGCAAAGGCACCTCCACCTTCTCTTCCGTGTCCCCTTGGTACGATGCATCCATCTCCTCTGGGCGTCTTGCGGGGGCATTGTCCTTGGCCTCCGGGGTTCTGGCGGCAGTACCACGTGTCCTTCGCGGCGGTGTGGTGACTGCACTGGCTTGCGATCTCCTCGCAGAGATGACCTGCAGCAGCTGCCGCCTCGTATTCTCTGAGCCGGTCGCACCGTTCAAAGCATCCGCCAAGATATCCGCCAGGCTCTGCTGCGGTCGCTTCTCCGGGGATTTGAGGAGGTTCTCGAGCTCGTCCAGCGCCTCCTTGTCCTCCGGAACCTTGACCTTCGGCTTGAGGACACTCTGGGGCTCCGCGATGGCCAACTGAAGCCCTGCAAGGGCCTCTTCCTGGGCCTGCTCCGCCTCGATCAAGTCCTGCCCCAGCTTGGTCATGCGCTCGTTGAACTTCGCCTTCTCCTTGACAAAGCTCTGCTGCAGTTCTTCCTTGAATGCAGCCCACTTGCCCAGGAGGGCCTCCTTCTCCTCTTCCAGACGTCGAGCTTTGCCCTCTGACTTTCGCAGCCCATTCAGCAATCGCTGAACTCCACGGGCCATTTGACTCGTCGTCACCGGCTCCTCGTCGATCTCCATAGCCACTCGTGTCGGAGCCATGGGCCTCTGCGGTGCACTGGAACTGCTTGCGTCCATCATCTCGAAGGAGGGGAAGGCAGGCCGCTTGGGCTCTCGCACCGCCTCTTTCGGTCCACGAGGGTTCGATGGAGCATGGGCAGCCTCCTTGTTCTTGCCCTTGCCCTTGACCTTGTGCCACCCTCCATATTGAGCTGAGGATGACCGCCAGGCTTGCCATTCTTCTTCGGTCCATTGGTTCTTGCGTCCCATAGGGCGGAGGTAGTCGGCGTAGACTGGTCTTGCGTGGTGCACTTCTAAGAGTGCCCTGTCCTTAGCAGGTAGGGGTAGACCTTTGGATCTTGCCGCGACTATTCGCTTCCTCGCCCTTGACCTTGCAGCCCGAAGCCGCCTGTGCCAAGCTGGGGAGCGCGGCCTTCCACCGCCCGGAATGGCGTCGTGTCAGTAGACACACGGGGTCACCGGCTATGCGTCCCGCTATCGGAACACTCGATCCGAAACCCTCATAATATATATATATATATATATATAGAGAGAGAGAGAGAGGGCTTAATACTGAGATGCAAAAGAGCTTTATGCTTGAATCACTTTTCCTGGTGCTCCTGGTGATACACTGGTTTCCGTGTGTAGATATATTGCCATACTACATGTATGTATGTATGTATATATATATATATATGTATCTTGCGAATGTTGGTTTTGGGTCACAGGTAGGGGCTTGCAGGTTTCGGGAGGAAACGGTGCAGGATTTTGAGGATTTCGGATTTCAGACCAGGAACCCAGTCCTGGGGAAATGTCGTTTAGGGTTTAGGGGTTTAGGGTTTAGGTTTTAGGGTTTAGGTTTTAAGGTTTAGGGTTTAGGGTTTCTATTGATTTGCTCGTTGAGGTCATGGGGTTAAGATTTGGGGGCTCCTTAGGATCCGAGGTTCAAGTCTCATAGCGTTTTGGATTGTTTTAGGGCTGCCCAATTGAATTCCAGCCTCGCCTCACGAGGACTGTAAAGGTTTGGTGCAGTCGGCGATCGACGGCTACAACGTCACGATCTTCGCGTGCGCCGATATTTGAGTGTGGATTCCCGCCGCATAGCTTCAAACCTAGTCCCCAAGGCACGACACCATGAAACCTGGATACCCATCAACGCATGCATGCATGCATGCATGCATATGTATGTACAGATGGATGCGCATGCCCATCGAGTGTGTTATTTAATTGAAGGCTCTAGTTGATGTCCCCCATCCCCGTCTTTTAGCAGCTATAGTATTATAGCACCTTCGGACACGACTAGATTCTTGCATGGTGTTAGAGCTTAAGGGTTTGGGGCTGTCGGGAATGTGTCGTAAAGCTAGAGGATCATGGGACTCAGTGAGTATGGTTACAATTAAGTACCTTAATTGGGGTTGCAACTACATAATAGTATAGTTACCCTAAACATAGCCCTCGTTACTAGGTCCCATGATCCTTTAAGTACACCCTACATCGCCCTTGTAGAAATCCTTTGAGTAGTGTTCCAAACCCTTAAAGGGAACTCCAGAAAGTTGGAATATGGTTTCAGGGTAGGATACCCTATAATTTACCATAAAGGGTTTAGGATAATCATATTCCATCTTTCTGGCTTTTACTATAGTTCCAACAGGTATGGCCAGACCGGTGCCGGCAAGACATACACCTTGTACGGCACGCCTGAGCAGGACACACCCTGCCCTGATAGGGGAGCTTCTGAACATAAGGGGTAGCTAAGGGTTCCTCTAACTATAAGGGTACTAAAGGGGTTCCTTTAAAGGGCTCTATACAGTTTCCGAAAATTACGGGTACCTTATTTTGGGGTCCGTATAATACGGATCCTACTATTCAGGGTACTAAAATAGGATCCCCTATTTTTCAGAAACTCCCAATAAAGTTGTGGGTCTAGGGTTTATTGAGGGTGCGGGTTTCGTTGCCTTAGCCCTAGGGGTCTAAGGACTCGTATATTAAGGCTTTTGGGCCCAAAGACCATACTATACAAGGCTTTTGGGCTATTTTGATCCCCAGGGTAGGAGGTTCGGAGCTACCTACGTTTGTTTGCGGTCCGAAATGTCGGCGATGTGCGGGCTTCGGGCATCCCCATGGAAGGAATCCCAAGGGTCCACAGGACCCAATGAACAGGTACTCGGTTTTAGGATGGTACTTGGAGGGGCAGGGGACTTAGTAAGTAAGTTACAAGATGTTACAAGTAGGGTTATCATTGGGGTAACTCCATTTAGGGCATTTAACCCTACTTATAGCCGACTTTCCGAATCCCCTGCCCCTCCAAGTAGTCATATAGGTTTGGATTTTGCAGAGTAATTATGTGATTATTCAGTACTTGGACCCTTGGGGGAATCCTGAAAAGAACCTTCAGATCAGTGGTAACTTCTACAGGTTCGTCCGGGCATACGTGAGTCCTGCTGCAAAGTACCATCTTCCTTGGGCCCAGGCTCTGTGCACGCCCAAAAAAAGGTCAAATTTCAACAAGTAAGTCCGACAAATCCTCAAATGCAGATCGCCCAAGGCCCTGAGAACCCCGAAACCATAGGCGTTTTAAGCACAAACTGTTTGAATAAACCTAAAACCTATGGTTGCAAAATGATTCTGAACGCTGTTCCTAAACCTGAATGGTACCATTCTTGAACCCTTAAAGGATCACCTCAAAGGAACCTTAAAGGAACCAATTTTGGACATTGCCACTAAACTCTGACAGTTCGGTGCGCAGGAACCTATAGCCCTAAACCCCTAATTAATCCTAAACCTTAAACCCATAGATCCCTTTAAAGGACCCCTCCTAGATCCCTCTGTGAAGGAACCCTAATCCTAAACCCTACCTATAGTCTCCATTGTAGTTCCCTTTTGGGGCTTACCTTATAGGATCCTTAATACATAACGGGTTAAACCACAAAAAGGAACTACAATGGAGACTACTTGGAGGGGCAGGGGACTTAGTAAGTAGGGTTACAATTGGGGTTATAATTGGGGTAAGTCCACTTAGGGTACTTATAAGTCTACTTATAACCATACTTACTAAGTCCCCTGCCCCTCCAAGTATAGGTAAAACCCCTAAGCTCTGAGAGTTCTGCCTGGGCTGCGCAGGAAGGCATCGCTGGGCGTTCCATCGGCCATCTTTTCCAGGTTGGCCCTTCGAAGGGTTTTGGGTTTTAGGGGCTTACTATCGATCGTTTAGGCTTCTGTAGGGTTTAGGGTTCCTTTGAAGGGCACTATAGGGTTCTATAGTAGGGTTCCTTAAAGGGATCTAGAAGGGCTCTATCATGGGAGGATCATGGGACTTAGTAAGTATGGTTATAAGTACCTTACTTGGGGTTATAAGTAATGTAAAGAAAAGATACCATAGTAATAACCCTAGTTAGTAAGTCCCATGATCCTTCAAGTTTGGGGGTTTACTATCGATAGTTTAGGCTTCCATGAGTTTAGGGTTTATGGGTTTAGGGTTTAGGGTGTGCGGGTTTAGGGAGTTTATTAGAGGGGCCTCAAGAAGTTACTAGTACTATTCTGGGGGTTCCTTGTTAGAACTATAGTATAATGTGTCGGGTCAGGCAGGGGTTAGGGTGTTGGTATTTAGGGTTCAGGGGTTTATCGTTTGGGGTGTAGGGTTTAGGGCTCAGGGTGCAGAGTTGCGGCTTTGAGCTGCAGAGATCCGGCCGACCCTCAAGGGTCCAAGTACCTCTTAGGGTTTAGGGTTTAGGGTTTAGGGTTTTCAAAATGTTGGTCCATTTGTGGGTACCCTAAATAATAGGTGCCGCACCACAGTAAGGACCCACAAAGCGACCACAATTTTGACAACCACCCATATACTCTCCCAAATCCTAACCTACATGACTGCCATCCTAAAACCGAGTGCCTAATTATTGGGTCCTTTGGACCCTCAGGGGCAGGTCCACATCCCAGGCTGTTCAGCATTCGGGCCGGAGGCTTAAGGGCCAAAGATTTGGGATGCTATGGTTGACCTGGTATTAACGAGGAATGTACATACAGTTGCTGATATAAATCTTGCATTGCCCATTATGAGGAATATACCATAATTCCCATAGTTTAGGGTCCTCAAGGTAGTGCAGGATTTGTGTTCATCAACAGTATGGTTGACCTGGTATAGACGAGGAATATACCTACTTTTCAAGCTTGGTTATGGCCTTCTTGGAGGTTCATGGGTAGTCATACATGGGATTGACCCTACCAGGTGCCATAGCTATAGTTATCAAACTTTCAAACCCCACATATAATAGCTACCCATGAACCTCCGAGTTCCTTATCACCTAATTATCTTGAAACCTTGTTCATAATCCTTCAAGTAGACCTTCCATTCTCAAGTGCCCGCAGACCTTCAAGTCCCGGTTGAAAGTCACGCGGAAGCTAAGGGCTGCAAAGTTTCGGGGTTTAAGAATTTAGGTTTACGGTTCGGGGCCTAGGTATATACCCTTAATATAGCTATTATATACCCATTATATAGCCCATCATAGGGTAGGTCCGGAGTTTGAGTTTACATGGTGGGTTTAGGCGGTGGGGTTCAGGTTTTGGATGCTGGGGTTGAGTACGGGTCTTCGACACATCACGCGCTAGACCCCAAGCCCTGAGCCCACTCCTAGGAATGCCTGCAGGCAGCCCTTCCGAGCCCAACAACCCTCTCAAATGAAACCCAAACAGCTCCAGAACTCTCAAACCTTACGCGGCCCTACCGGCCCTACAGTTAAAAGTGCTCTGTGCCCAGCTCCTGGATGCCCTGCGGCCGAAGCACATGGTCAGTGTTACCGCTTCCATGGTGTGTGGCCCAGGGGCGCAGCAGGAAGACTGGCTTCGGGCATACGGGTTTAAGGCTAATTACCTCTAATATACCTTAAATACCCACTATTAAGGACCATCCGGGCTCCATTAAAGGGCCATTGGGGGTCCTGGTACTATGGTAACTTAGAGTCTAAACCCTTCAACAAGAACTCAGAAAACTAACCCCCAGGTCTTCAGAAAGGGCTACCATGGGGCCTGCGTTTGGGACACATCACGTTTCGCGGTTTCGCAGCGATTTGTTTCACATCATCTTGCTATCCTATGCTTGTATAAACAGTTCTGGGTTATTTACTGTATTGTTCGTACTTGTAGACATTTATGTCGCTTATCAATAATGTTGTTGTTTATAAGCAGGGCCTGTGTTTATAAACAGTGTCTGTGTTTATAAGCATGGCTTGTGTTTATAACCAGGGCTGGCGTTTACAAACTAAGATGAAAGAGGGGGGGGGGGAGGTGGGGGGGGGGGGCTGAGGGTTTGGGGCTGACATGTTGAGACCTGCTACCCCCTCCCCCCCCCCCCCGTGGCTGGCTTAAACAGGGTCTATTTGGAAGCTGGCATTCGGGCTTTGCTGTGGTCATATATCCTCACACGAAGGCCGGCGAGCTGGTCCCAGCGAGCTAGGGCACGTATTGGAACAACATTCTGTTAATGTCAAGTTTGTGTCACAAGACCTGAGTCGGACAGCAAGCTAACACAAAGAAAGCGGCAAGCAGCAACCAAACAGGCCCCTCCAACTTCACGAGAATTCAAAAAGCTGCGTTTACCCATCGGTCGGAAAGAAAAGAACTCCTCTCTCTCTTGATCAGGGGATTGGATCCCGAAAAGATGGAGAACAGCATACGCACCAGAAGAAGAAACCTCCGTTCTCTCTTGGCAACGGAAAGAGATCTTGATTATTTCCTTTACCTTTTCAAAAGATGGACAAGGGCATACGCTCAAGAAGAAAGGGCGGAGATTCCCCACCCCTCAACGAAAACACGGAGAAAGTCCCTCCAAGTCATTCAGCTGATCTCTAGCAGCGAGCTCCTCTACCTCTTGGTAACTCTCCATCTCCTCTGACGATAAATGAAGAGAGCTCGCTGCTTCGTCATCCGCAAGAAATGAGCTTCTTTTCTCCAAAAGGGTAAGGAAGAGATCCCTTGGCACATCCCCTACCGCAGCATCTCCAAGGAGCAGAGAACCCTTCCAACTTCACGAGAAAAAAGGAACTCCGGCTGCCTCCTAGTCGACAACAAGAGAAAGGATCTCCTTGTCGTCCCCTCTTTCTCCTCAAGGGATAGAAGAGAGATAGCTTTCAAGAAGTGAGGACTGAACTGTCTCAATCTTCAAAAGAAGAGTCTGGTCCTCCCCTTAGCCTTCAACAAGACATGAGCAGCCCTCTACCCCGTCCTCTGAATTAGCTCCCGAAAAGACAAATCCTCTGCCTCATCCTCGACAAGAAGAGACTGAGAGCAATCTAAGGGGGCAGAGGAAAGCGCCATCTCAACAAATCAAGCAGGCCGCTCCAACTTGACGAGAAAGAAGAGGGCTCCGTTTACCCTTCTGCAAGAAGAGACCTCCTTTCTTTCTTGATAAGGGGGGGGATGCTCAAGAAGAAAGGGTGGAGCTCCCCCCAATTTTCAAGTAGAGACATCTGGTCATCCCTCAGCCTTCAAAAAGAAAAGACCTCATGCTCCAAAATAAGAAGAGAGTCCCCAGGATATTCGTGGCAACAGAAGAGAGCATCCCTTTTTACCTCTTGGTATGTCGCCTTGTCGTCTTAATTAAGAAGATTGAAGAGACATCGCTCCTAGCAAGAAAGGACAGAGCTCCCCTAGCTTCCAAAAAGAAAGATTTTCTACCTCATCCTCCACAAGAAATCACTGAGAGCTTCCTCCTATGCAATGAGGCGTAAGAGAGCTCCATCTCAGTCCAGCATACAGGCCCCTCCAACTTCACGAGAATTCAAAGGTCTCCGTTTACCCATCGGTCGGAAAGAAGATAACTCCTTTCTCTCTTCATAAGGGGATTGGATCTTGAGCATTTCTTTTGCCTTTTCAAAAGATGGAAGACAGCATACGCACAAGAAGAAGCAACCTCCTTTCTCTCTTGGCAGTGGAAAGAGATCCTGATTGTTTCCCTTACCTTTTCAAAAGATGGAAAAGGGCATACGCTCAAGAAGAAAAGGCGGAGATTCCCCCACCCCTCAACGAAAACACGGAGAAAGTCCCTCCAAGTCATTCAGCTGATTTCTAGCAGTGAGCTCCTCTACCTCTTGGTAACTCTCCATCTCCTCTGACGATAAATGAAGGGAGCTCCCTTCTAGTCGAAGAAGACAAGGCTCAACGCATCTCCAGTTTCAAAAAGAACTGCGGCTGCCTCTTATAGTCGACAAGATGAGAGAGGATCTCCTTGTCGTCCCCTCTTCCTCTTCAAGGGATAGAAGAGGGATAGCTTTCAAGAAGTGAAGACAGAGCTCGCTCAATCTTCAAAAGAAGGGGAGGATCAGACTTCAACAAGACATGAGCAGCCCTCTACCCCATGCTCTGAATTAGCTTCCAAAAAGACAAATCCTCTGCCTCATCCTCGACAAGAAGAGACTGAGGGCTTCCTCCAATCTAATGGGACAGAAGAAAGCGCCATCTCAACAAAGCAAACAGGCCGCTCCAACTTCATGAGAAAGAAGAGGGCTCCGTTTAGCCCTCGGCAAGAAGAGACCTCCTTTCTTTCCTGATAAGGGGAGGGGATCCTGATTATTTCCGTTGCCGTTTTAGCAATGGAAGAGAGCATACACTCAAGAAGAAAGGGTGGAGCTCCCCCCAATTTTCAAATTAGAGACATCTGGTCGCCCCTCAGCCTTCAAAAGGAAACGACCTCATGCTCCAAAATAAGAAGAGAGTCCCCTGGATATTCGTGGCAACAGAAGAGAGCATCCTTCTAGCAGAGAGCCTTTTTACCTCTTGGCATGTCGCCTTTTCGTCTTAAGAAGATAGAAGAGACCTCGCTCCTCGCAAGAAAGGACAGAGCTGCCCTAGCTTTCAAAAAGAAAGATTTTCTACCTCATCCTCCACAAGAAATCACTGAGAGCTTCCTCCCATGTAATGAGACGCAAGAGAGCTGCATCTCAGCCCAGCAGACAGGCCCCTCCAACTTCACGAGAATTCAAAGGTCTCCGTTTACCCATCGGTCGGACCGAAGATAACTCCTTTCTCTCTTCATAAGGGGATTGGATCTTGAGCATTTCTTTTACCTTTTCAAAAGATGGAAAACAGCATACGCACAAGAAGAAAAAACCTCCTTTCTCTCTTGGAAGTGGAAAGAGATCCTGATTATTATCTTTACGCTCAAGAAGAAACGGTAGGGATTCCCCCACCCCTCAACGAAAACACGGAGACAGCCCCTCGAAGTCATTCAGCTGATTTCTAGCAGCGAGCTCCTCTACCTCTTGGTAGGTCTCCATGTCCCCTGAAGAGAATTGAAGGGAGCTCGCTTCTAGTCGAAGAAGACAAGGCTCAAAGCATCTCCAATTTCAAAAAGAACTGCGGCTGCCTCTTAGTCGACAAGAAGAAAGAGGAGCTCCTTGTCGTCCCCTCTTCCTCCTCCCCAAAGGCTCCAAAGCATCGTCATGGCCAATACTTTCGTTTTGGGTGAGTGCTGGGCTATTTCTGCCAAGCGGCGTTGCGTCTGGGGTCTAAATGTCGTCTGTGCCAAATGTAGCATCTCTGCAACTTTTGGGAAGAGTTTATTGACGAAAAAGTATGCCATACTACTTAAGAATACCGCCGGCCCTCATCCCTCAATATACATGCTACAATACTTACCATTCCCGACAGAGCTGGAGACGAGAGAGAGCACGAAAGGACACAGACACAAACACACCAAACACATATATTGTACACGAAACACGACTGGCCCACCCACATGCACATACATATATACATGTATATGTATATATATATATATATATATACACATATATATATATATACATATGAAACAAAAGCCCTTCCACAAGAAACACCTACACCCACCCACCCACATGTACACACAAACACACATAACACACACCCACACAGACACACACACACATGTATAACAGCACACACACACACACAACCACACAACACACAGAAACTCACACCCACACCGGTACCTATATACACACCGACACATGTATATACATATATTATACATACATACATATACTGGTCGCTGCTCGTTGCAGCTCAGATTCGCCGCTGGGCATGCATTAAGGCTTTCGGGTATTAGTATAGTGCTTGGGTTTGGGGCTTTAAGGCCGGGTGATGCAAAGTGCCGCTCAAATGCAAGCTTCGGTTCAGAATTATAATTATTGAAAAGCCTTAAAATAAACCCAGCACCCTAAAACCTTCAAGCACCGAAACCCCTAAACCCCAAGACCCCCAACATCCTAAAACCCAAAACCCTAGCAAGGGTTTGCGGGGTTTGGGTCTGCTGCAGCCGATCGCGACATTTCCCCCGCTCTGCGTGCGAACTCCACGTCTTGCGATTAAGGGCCCAGGCCAATAGTCTCGAGCATTACCGTACCGGTACCGTGCAGCGGTGCTTACGTATACTATATACCCCTAGCCGATGGCTTATAGGCCCCGTTTGCAAATAGCAACATCGATCAGCGGCTCAGTCCGTGGAAGTTTGCAGCCTCGGCTGCTTCTCGAAAGCCTGCATCCCTGAATCGAAACCTGCATAATTGAAGCAAGGTGCCATAAATAAAATCGTCGCAACGTGGATCTCTCGAGGCTGCGTGTGTGCACCGAGCTTGCTATGCCTGGGATCCCAGATAGTGCGAGTACTAGGCGGAGCACAGTAGTAGCAAGTAGTAGTGGTACTAGTAGTATATATAGTCGCAGCAGCAGTAGGAGCCGAGGAGGCGGTGGTAGTCGTAGGTAGGTGGCAGTGGTGGTACCATGGGTGGTGGTGGGTGGTGACTAGTGTACTCGTGGTACCGGTACCATACTAGTATGTACTTCTCGTGATAGTGGTACTATAGAGTTGTAAAGTACTACTATATAGCCGTAGCCATATAGTAGTATATAGCATAGGTACTGGTACGGTACGTAGTAGTAAAACGTTAATTAAATGCCAAGCTTCCAACCAGTCGGCCGTTGAAGTCTTCGCTCGCGAACGTGTGGTAATAACGGTAGTTGTACTTCTCCACGGAGCAGAAACGGATGAGCTCGAGGATGCCCTTGGCCCGGGGGTCGTGGCTAGCTACACATGTAATTAGGGTTTTAAGGGATTTATCGCGCTAGGGTGGGCTTGGGCGTTTGCTTACGGATTTTGTCCGAATTCGCGTTGGGGAGCTCGGGATTAATATGGTTTAAAGAAAGCCCTTCGAGAAAACCATTGATGCAAGCGGCATGAAGCTTGGGGCGGATCTGAAACAGCGGCCTTGAGCCAGAGCTATGCATCTTCGCGAGCCAGCCGTAGGCGTTCAGGAACTCATCCTTGAAAGTCCAAGCCCCCCAAATATTTACTATATGTGTACTTATTAAATAACCCAAGCCTATAGCCATATATATATATATATATATATATATATATATATCGCTAAATGATAGCTAGGAACCGTGCAGTGCCGCATTCGCTGGATCTCCGCGTCCGTAAGGTATCGGCCGGCCTGCTCGGAGCAGTTCATCAAATCTGCCAGGTAGAACCTCGCTGTCTTGGGAATCTAGGGCCCGGATTTAGTTGAAGGCTTTTATAATTAAGGCTTCTTAATTTAATTAGGGTTCAGGGTTTAGAGCAAGGTTTAGGGCTTGCTGGGTTTCTGAGCAACATGCATTGGCCCATAGGCCGCATTGAGCGATCACCGGCATGTTCATCTTCGTAGAGCAGCATCGTCGTCCGGTGAGCCAGCCAGCTTGTAATAACCCTCGCCTCGATACATATACACGGCATCATGGATGCATATTGTCGTCTATTTGCAGCTAGTGGCGTTATAAGCTTTAGCCGCCATCTCGAGCTCGCCGGCTTTGAACCGGAGGAACTTGGAAGTAAACTTCGGCTGAGAATGCCTGAGATTCTTAAGCTTCCAGTCTGGGTACTTATAATACTGTTCGGAAAATTACTTTATATCAGCAAGGGCTCAGAACCTTTCGCTCCTTACACCACGAACAAAAGTCGCGGTAAGCGTTGGCCAGCATGGCATTCACATCGTCGCCAGCCCAAATCCCCTGCTACATGGTACATATTGTAGACACAGATTACTTAAGGTTTAGGCTTTGGGGTGTAGGCTTTGGGGCTTGGCGGGTGTGGTTTTGGAATTGTGCCTTCTGCATCAGTAGGTCGATGCACCCGGCACCAGCCCACAGCATAATGCCAAGATTTATGGTGTGTAGGGAGCACCAGCGAAGCATCGTGGGCCTCCATCCGAGGATCTCCGAGATGACACCTGCGTGCAAACATTGGTTTTTGCTTCGAGCCTGGACAAGCAATTAAACTAGTTTGTGATTGCGGGCTTCTACGGGGCAATTTATAATTGTAAGATGTAACACTTTCGGATTTCAATCCAGCGGCTCGTCCTTCCACCATCATCCACCAAGCTAGTGCAGGCCTCGGCAAAGTTCTCGGGTGTCCGCCTGGGCATACTTTCCATTGTTGACATTCGAGGGTCATCGAAGAAAGAGTCCAGACGGGCGTGGCAGTGGTGGCAGACGGCGTTGCTGCTCCATCCGATTTTTTTAAACCCGAGCCATTCCTAGGTAGCGACTACAAAACACCCAGAAAGAGAGAGAGAGAGAGAGAGAGAGAGAGAGAGAGAGAGAGAGAGAGAGAGAGACAGAGAGAGAGAGAGAGAGAGAGAGAGAGAGAGCGGGAGCGAGAACAACAAAATCGGCTTCGGGGTCTAGGGTCTAGAGCAGATATCATGATGAATCGAAACCGGTTCCGATACAATTCATACCCGCCAAGTCTCTTTGTAAAACTTCCAGTCTGCCCTTAGCTCGGTAAGAGCGGCCAGCGGTGGCTCCATGTCGGGCTCGCAGACCTCTCCTCGGAACAAAATGTTCAAGGAGTCGACCACCTCAGCACAGGAACATATCGTTCAGGTTTCGGTTGGGGGTTGGACGTGCATGCCATCGGAATTTATTTGGGTCCAAGCGACAGGCCTCATAAAGGCCTGAATGGTCGAAAACCCGGTCGACAAAGACTGCCAGGGATGATATCTGACATGTACAAGGCTAGATAGGGTGGGTTTAGCTTATTTAGAGGGTGTTACTATGTCGGGTTTCACACCTCCCTCAGGATCCACAAGGGGAAGTGCGTGGTCATCGAATGCGTCCGCTCATCTAAGACCAGGCCTAGACTCACCTGGGTGAGTTTCTCTTCATTTGTCCATTTCACATCATCGGCATAGAGATAGACTGGCAAATGCTTGCAGTTTCCCCCCTGCTCAGCGAGTGGATGTTCGGGGCCCCATTCCGCGTGCGTGAACATGTGGCTCCAATATTCCCGAATCGCTGCAAAGTCGGGCACAACGAGGTTGTGCTTCAGCAAGTGAGGAATCAATCGATGAGGGAGGACCACCGGTAATTTCCTGAATCCCAACTAGCCACGACCACACTCTTGGTTACGAATGATATTAGGGTACGGTTACTGGGCTTCAGGGTTTATAATCGAGGGTTCGGGGGCCTAGGGGTTAGGGGCTGATTGTTCGGAAGCTTTACACGAGCACAGTCGGCAATCGCCTCATCACCACAGTGGGGTCCGTGGCACTCTTCATCATGGGGACCTCCACCGTATCCATCGGCACCTGGGTTTAGGTTCGGGCTTTAGGGTTTTAACGTTCCAGGGTCGAGGCTTTATTGTTGGGAATCTTCGGCATCTGAGTCGATCGCCATATCCATAGCTCCATCGAGGATTCTCAACGAATCTCGCTGCAGATTCTGCGGATGTTTCCCAGTAGCACCTGCCAGCCGAAGCCTCTGTGCTGTCCGTGGCAAAGTTCCGCCAGCTGCTTGAAGCTCCTGCATCGACGGGGGATATAACGAGTTCGAGGGGATGTTACTAAGTTACACGGAGCCAATCCTTATGGGACTCTTCCAAGAACTGCCTGGCTCCGGCGAAGCTGAGGTCCTGGATTGTCGACAGCTGCGAACGGAATCGAGGCAGGTTTGATCTGGATTGGCTTAGCACCGGACCCCTTTACCAGTGCATCGGAGGATGTGTCGCCCCAGTGGCCCCAGGTCGTCGTTCATAGATTCTGCGACAGGGGGTTGTGCTAGCTAGAGGTGCATGTTTATCGGCTGCCATTCAAAGCATAAGACCTCTAGAGTGCATTTTCGGATCCATGTGCGTTGAGAAAGCTTCCCCGGCACATTCGGGGGTCTGGCATCGAGATGCTTGAAATCTGCTAGCCGCCATGGGCCGTGAGACCCAGGTTCCAGCCCGGGCCCACAAAATTTGTGTGCACTTCTAACTGGAAAAGAGCACGAGGATCCAAGCTGCTAGTCTGCTTCTAGAACTAGCAAAGCGGCAACTCGAAATCCCGTAAAAGATGCTGCCGAGCTAATAGGACTCTCTGCATGTACCAGCTTATGGGCCCTCTAGCGGCTCTAGCGACTAGCGACCCCGAACTTTGTAAGCTATCAATCTTATCCCGGCAACACCTCAACAGCTCGCCAGTCCACGGCACACCCAGCCAGGCGCTCAGCCTTGATCACTTCTTCTTGCCGCCGCGGCCCTTCGCCTTCGCTTTGGCCTTCGGCCCTGCCTGGGCTTGGGATGGCTCTCGTCAGCAACCCCGAAGCTTCACACCCCAAACCTAAGCCCGAACCCTTAAACCCTGAGCCTAGCCTAGACCCTAGGCCTAAACCTAAAGCCCTATATAGACCTTAAATACAGCCCCTGTAAACCTAGCCAAGGCCTATTGCAAAGACCCTAAATAAAACCTTAAACCTAGCCTATGCCTTATTATCATATATACATATATACATACTTATGATCGAGAGACCCTAACCCTAAACCCAGCCTAAATCCTAAACCACAGGAACCTTTTTGGCAATTCGATGTGGGATTGCATGTACACTACTGAAAACAGCTTGGGCTCAGGAGGCTTGGGCGGCTTTCCTAGCTTATAATATTTGGGCACCTGGATAGCTACTGGTTGCGTGGATTTATAAGGACTTAGAGGTTATGGTTCCCTCGAAGCAATGTCACCCCAAGGTATGCTCGAGGACCAAGTACTGCTACAATGCAATCTGGCGGCCGACATCTTCTTCATCGCATTCGTCGACTGCACATAGTTAGTAATCTTTTGTGTGACCTCGTCCAAAAGCTCCTGAAGCCGATCACCCGAGCCCTTGTCCACCTCAGCCTGCAGCTTGTCCCTGGCTTGCTGAAGGCTCTCTTTGTGGTTCTTGAGATCCGTGAGGAAGCCTTCGCGGATCGGCTGCGACCTGGAATCAAGATTGGACTGGCAGAGGATCTAAATAAGGCTAGGCTTCAGGGCTTATATTAGGGGCATAATATCGAGACCCTAGCGTGAGTTTGTTGATTAAGGTAGGGTTACGTATATATATATATATATATATATATATATATATATATATTTTTTTTTCATATATATATATATAGTATATGTATGTCATATGTGCAGTTTGGGCTCTCGGTTGGGATTTGCGATTAAGGGCTTTAGGTTTTGTGATTGTTGCATCAAGGATACATATCCTTGGCCCCGGCGATCTCCTCCTGCAGCACACTCGACTCCTCTAGCTTTGTGGAAGCCAGGGCAATCTTGTTCTTGCACTGGTTCGTGAGGGCGGTTTTCTTCTTCTTGTCCATGGTTTCCGGTTGGGTTGCCAGGGTCGAGCCTGCCTCCTGATCCCCAAGAGCCAGCGGCAAAGCCATCGAGGACGGCCTGCGTGTGAGGCCGGAGCTGGAACCCGCATTCGAGCCGCCCGGCATTGCAATCTCGAGGCCGTGGGCCATGGTGGTCCTGAGGGGCAATTAATGGCAGTGCAAGCTTAAGGGTTTCGGGGCCCTGAGTTTCAAACCGCAGAAAAACTACATTCTACTATATAGGCACTTTGGATCTTGTGGGTTTGGTGTTTAACTCAGCACAGTGGCATCGCCGCTCGAGTGGCCCCCGCATCGAGCTGCATCTGGTCGGTCTGCAAGGTCGTCGTTTTCGAAGACTTGTCGTTTTTCGTCAAGACCGCCTCCTTGAATGTCCGTACCAACGTCCACTCCTGTCAAGTTTAGGGCTAGAGGGTTGAGGGATATTTAATGTTCAAGACATAACCACATTTTGTTTTGGCAAGCCCCGCCTTACATCCAGGTAAATCAGGGTGTTTCAATATGAAAGGAGGTTCCTGACTATCCTCGGGAAGGGCGTCTTGGAGGGCCATCTTTGAGCGGTAAATCTCCTCTGCATGCTGGTCCCCCTCTTTGGCCCGTAGGTCACACAATCTCATGTAATGCTCCTCGCCTCGCATGATGTGCTCTACGGTAGATTCTGCCTTGCAGCAGATGCTCGAGCTGAGCCAATCGCCACCAGCTTTGAGGTACTCATTGAACATGTCGTCCAGCACTTTAGAGCCTGGGGGCATCATTTCAGAACACTCATGTACATTGATATATGATAGCAAGAATTCTAGAAGTCGTCCACAAGCTTAGCACCGGTGCCGAAAAACCGTAGAACCTAAGTGGTTCACATTAATATTATTGCAAGCTTAGGACCGGTGCCTCGCGTTGCCTTGCTGGCGGCTTCTGCAACCTCCGGTGGGCAGTTCGTGCCTGGGCCATCAGTGGCTTGAACCATGCTTTTGAGCCAGAGTATTTAGGGGTATATTCCGCTTTAGGGTCCCGGGTAGACGGTGAATTGATGATTCATGATCAGATCCACCACACTGGTGAATATTGTGTGATTGATGAAGTTGTTCGGATCTGGTACGGCTATATTTAGACTCTGGGCTTAAGGGGCTTTAGGCGGATGTTAGGGTTTCAGGATTGAAGGCATATATGGGGCTTGAGGCATTCAGAAGTTTAAGGGTTTAAGGGTATTGGGGTTTGGGTGAAGAGTCTCTAGGAGTTCTCTAGCGATTGTTGTACATAGTTGGATGCAATTCGGATCAAGGAGACAGTTCAGGGCTTCAGGGTTTAAAGAATTTGGAGATTTCAGGCTTTACCTAGCTGATAATATCAAAGCCAAGCACTGCGGATGGACCGGTGGAACTTCATGAAGACATTGTGGGCCACCCTCGTCATCCACTCCTCAGTGGATTCGCCTTCCTTCTGGGTAAGCGATGCTTCCTGCCATGTATCGTAGAGGGTTTAGGGGCAGCGTGATCCCAAAACTGTCCGAAAGGCCTTGGAAGACCCCCACTACCCCTGAAACCAGCCTCGGGACTAGCACCCTTTCCAACGAAACTCGGGTCCTTCAAATCGAAAGAGTTGGGCTTCTCCAATGCCTTGAAAACGGCCTCCGTCCTGGCCGACGTCTTGCTGCGAGCCTCAACCGGGGCCAGCTGGAGGACCCCTGGATCCGGATGCTGCATGGCTTCCTGCTGCTGGTCGCCTGTTCCCTGCGTGGCTTGATCTGCTTGCATCGTCGGGACCCCTGACTCCACGGCTTCATGCTGGTCGCCTGTTCCCTGCGTGGCCTCTGCGTCTGCTTGCAACGGGACCCCTGACTCCGAATCCGGTGCTTGCTGCATGGCTTCCTGCTGCTGGTCGCCTGTTCCCTGTGTGGCCTCTGCGTCTGCTTGCATCGGGACCCCTGACTCCGAACCTGGTGCTTGCTGCGTGGCTTCCTGCTGCTGGTCGCCTGTTCCCTGTGTGGCCTCTGCGTCTGCTTGCATCGGGACCCCTGACTCCGAATTTGGTGCTTGCTGCGTGGCTTCCTGCTGGTCGCGTGTTCCCTGTGTGGCCTCTGCTAGATTTGCGTCTGCTTGCATAGGGACCCCCGACTCCGAATCCGGTCCTTGCTGCATGGCTTCCTGCTGGTCGCGTGTTCCCTGCGTGGCTTCTGCTTGCATGGGCTGCGAAACCACTCCTTCCATAGCCTGGTTGCCTGTTCCCTGCGTGTCCACCAAGGTCTCCGGAAGCGGGAGCGACGACGGCTCCTGGGCACAGCGGTTCGTAGTACTAGCACTGTGGAGGTTGTACGAGTGCTATAGCTAGCAGCAGAAAAACAAAGTAGAAGTGATAGATATCTAGTATACAGTACTAGTCCTAGTACTAGTACTACGGTTGATGATACAAATCCTGCATTACCTGAAGGACCCGAAACTATGGGAATTATGGTATATTCCTTATTATGGGTAATGCAGGATTTATATCATCAACCGTAGTACTACCACTACTACTACTACTACTACTACTACTACTACTACTACTACTGCTACTACTGCAGTAGCAGTAGTAGTAGTAGTAGTAGTAGTAGTAGTAGTAGTAGTAGTAGTAGTAGTAGTAGTAGTAGTAGTAGTAGTAGTAGTAATAGTACTAGTAGTAGTAGTGGTAGTAGTAGTACTAGTAGTACTAGTACTAGTAGCGTAGTACGTAGTAGTGGTACGTATAGTATAAACACCAGCAGTAGCTAGTAGTACTAGTACAGTAGTGTGCTAGCTCTAGATCTCGAATTCGAATTGATTTCGCAACGGCAGCACCAGTGGCTGGCAGTAGTCTAGTTTAACCAAGTCGGTACTGCAAGGCGATGTGGAGGCTTCGAAAGAGGACTGCTTTAGGCTTATTAGGTATTGTACAGGGACTAAGGTCTAGGCTTTAATAAGTTTCTGCGATGTTTGCGGACTGGTTGAAACTTTATAAGGGCTCAGGATTCAAGCTTAAGCTTACGGGTTGCAGGTTAACACTTTTTCGGCAGCTTCTACGTGTGACGTGGAGTTTCGGGATTAGGGTACCCTGCTCGCATCCAAAGAACCCAGGCCTCTAGAGAGAAGTTTGCCATAGATGCCTCCAGCTCGTCCATGAAGAGCTGCTCGCCTATGTCCTCCTCGATCGTCGTTGTTTGCATCCAACCAAACTCGTTGAACAGGTTCCACTTGCCCAAGAGGGGATCGACTGATTTGTCGATGGCCACGAGTGCAGCCAACTCCGCCCGCTCCAGGTGATCCTGGATCTCTTTGCTCTTCTTGGACCTCCACTGCTCCGTGGCTGTAGCACGTTTGTGCAGTAGGTCCTCGCCCAATTCGCCGTTGTCCAACTGTTGCCGAAGCTTCTGGATCATGTTCTCGGCTTGGTTGTGGACTGCCTCTGCCACGGCTGCGGTTTTGGCCTTCAGAGCCTCATACTCAGAAACCTTTGTCCAAGCTCCGTTGACGAGTAGCATTAAGTACTTTAGGCCATCCGAGTCCATCAGCAAGTCGGTCCTGATGTCATCCTCCATCACAACACCATTCTGCGGATGCCGAGGCAGGGCGTCCTTGATCCAGGACATCATCGGCGAAGCGTCTTGGAAGCGAATAGCTTCTTCAAGAGGGGGCCACTGCTTGTCCTGGCACGGCATGCCATAGTAGCCCTCGAAGATCAACCTCCGGACACCTGTCGAGGGGTCCTCCTCCTCTCGCGGAAAGTCCCCCAGCACCAGAGTGCTTGTTGAGCGAGCCACCGTGGTGAGGCTGTCCGGCCTGCGGATGGGCTGCACCCCGGCCGGCGAAGCTTGGCTTTGGCCTGCATACATTAACAAATTTAGGCTTTAGGGTTTGGGGATTGGGTTTTTGGGTAGGGTTTGGGGATTGGGTTTTGGGCAGCCAATATCCTAGAACCATCGTACCATAAGCTACGAAAGAATTCTATGCTAGATGTAGCTGAAATGCAAGCAAACAGCACCAATAGGATCCGGAATTTAGAGTAGATAGTTAAACAACATAGAGAAGCCCAGAGAACATGTGTGGGAATAAGGTTTAGGGTATGTTGACAGTTTAGGTATATATTATTAGGGTTTATTCAAACTATCTAGTTGTCTAATCTAAGCTACTGTACTTGGCAGACACCCAATGCATGATCATGAGACAGCCTGGCAGTTGATCAGGCTTCGAAGCAGAGCTTTCCGGCACCTCCAGCAGGGATTCTGAAATGGGTAGAAACACACCAAAAATCTACATATGGATCTTAGCCCAGTAATTATATTAATGGCCTCGGCGGCATCTTCAAAGAGTGCCCTCCGGGCTTTCTTGTAGTCCGGGCTCTTGACGGGCGTGTAGCCTGGCTTGAAAGGTGTCCCAACTTTGGCAGGGGTTGGCGTAGAACCCGACATGTGCACATCCTTGGCTGGGCTCGGCTTTGGGGAGGCCTTTGGCACAGGTGGGCTCGCCATGGTAACATCATCAGCTGTTGGCTGGCTCTTCACTGCTTGCTTCGTGGGTGTGTTGGGACATTGCTTTATCGGCACCGGCACTTTCGGGAAGCCAGCTTGTCCCGAGGCTGGCGGACGGCCCATGACTGCCAGACTGCTGGTTCTGCTGCCTTCGGCTGGAGGAGGCTTGGCAGCACTCTTCGGCATCTGTACCGGTCCGGGTTGCTTCGGCGTCTCTACCGGTCCGGGCTGCACGGGTTGGGCTTGGCCTCTCGAAGTCACGGGCTTCGAGGTTGGAAGTTCTCGCTTCGTCGGCACCGGGGAAGCACCTTTGGTGGGCTGGGTTTAAGGGTTTAGGGATTACGTGCGGCGGGCTTCGGGGTTTAGGGGTGCAGGGTTTAAATATAATATTGTTGCTACTATTAAGTTAAAGCCCAGATGCCTTTCATGGCTGTCGCCTTCACATCGAATTCCAGGGGAGCGGTAAGGCTTGGAGGCGGAGATGTCGTAGGTTTCTTAGCAGCTGGCGCACCGGCCATGAATGCCGTTTTGCCGCTCATGCGTCTCGTTGGTTTTGCTGCAGCTGCTTGTGTCCCACCGGTGTCTCCGGATCCTGCGTGCAGTGGCTGTCTTATATATTACAAGTGTGATTACAATACACATATAGTTGTTCGATCATATAAACATCCCAGCCAGCCTGCAGGTGGCATGCCTGCAGCTTTCAAAGCCTCTGCCACCTCATCTGCGATCTTCTTGTGCTTGCCCTGTCCGATAGGTTCGTAGGGATCTCTAGATACCTCTAGAACTCTAGATTAGTTCAGACTTTGGACACGGGCTTGTGGTTATATGGTGGTGCTAGCTTGGTTCGGCTCAATATTGGTAGGGGTGCACGTAGAAGTCGAAGGCATGGGGTTCAGATAATTTGTGAACACGAGGATGTGGCTTCAAAGCCCTGGCCTGTTCCTGATTACTATTCATAACATATACATGTACACCCCTGTATAGTGGACCTGAAGAAGCCGTTCTTCTGGGCTACCGGAAATATTTACAATATCTGGGCTAGCCTTGCGTGTAGGGTTCAGAGATCCTACTATAAACTTAAGTGCATTTAAATGCAATTAAGTTTATAGTAGGATCTCTGAAATTTAGGATTTGGGGATCTGGGTCTTAATGCATTATAGGGGGCTTAGGCCGGGCTTTAAGGTGCCTGTTGCGGCTGCTTGGGTGCAGCCTGCGTCGGAGTGGCCCCCGTGGAAGCCATGGCACGAACTAACGGCGACTAACGGTTACTAACGGCCCAAAGTGTTCCAGAGACCCCTTTGAACGCCAAATAACGCTTCCTAACGGCCCTGCCCGAACCTCAACTCACGGCCCCTAACGGCTCCTAACGGCCAAAAGTGGTCCAGGGAACCCTTTGAACGCCAAATAACGCTACCTAACTGCCGTGATTTTGCACACCAACACAACTCACGGCCCCTAACGGTCCCTAACGGCCAGAAGTGCTCCAGAGAGCCCTTTGAACGCCAAATAACGCTCTCTAACGCCTTTGGTGGTTTTCTGCAAGTGAACCCTGTGTTTGCAGCAGGGACTGCTCACAATTTGAGCAAATCAAGGCCTCGCGTCACATGCTTAACGTACAGCAGGCAGCCCTGACATGTGCGTGAGGCCGATCATGTGCAGGGTCGAGCTACATGCAAACCCCAAATTAAATATATAAAGCTAATTAAAAAGGATTCCAAAGTACCTTTGCATGGTATCGAATAGGGAATACTCTTCCAAACCACAAAGCAAACCCTGCAATACTTAGGACCCTGAGGGAATTATGCATGTACACTTGTACATGCATAATTCCCTCAGGAATAGCATGTCGTCGGATTATCTCGATCATCCACATCCACGGCTTGGGTCTAGACCTGCACAATAGCCACATGAACTGTTTTCTCCGGCCGGTGCCAGTGATACATGCCGATGTGACACATGCATCTACTGCTCTAGATTCTCTAGATCTCCAGGGCAAGCCAAGCACCAGCTAGATAATTTTAGCTACATCAATGTACTGTGTAGACTGCATGCAGAGGACGAATGCCCCAAAGCTTGCCAACGGTTCAGCCAACCTGTATTCTGGAAGAGGTTTTGTGGTTTGGTTCGGCCGATACCTCGATCCACTGTGGCTGGGTGGACATGTACATGTGTAGTTAAATTTCACTATAATTACATGTGTCTCTCAGCATGATCACTTCGAGGGCCATAGCGACCAGTACATATACTCCAAATGTGTTAACCGACTGAATGGGCCCTTGAAGCCGATCACTCTCCAGCCGCCTTTGCAAACATGAGGCGTCGATTGCATCGACAGCCATGCACCTCAATTGCACGTTGTGTGGCTTGGGGATTAGGGCATAGGGTTCTGGGTTTGGGGCGGGCATTCGGTTTAGGGTTCTGGGTTTGGGGCTTTTCGGTTTCCATTAAATACACATAGTTTCGCAGAGAAATAATCATTATGTGTGTATATATATATATACATATGTATGTATCTCATATCAATACAAATATATATATATATATATATATATATGTATGTCTATATATATATATACATATTAATATATATATATATATGTGTATATATATATGTATATATATATATATATATATATATAGAGAGAGAGAGAGAGCAATTCAGACGTACAAATATAGTATTTGCGGCAAAATACTCCAAACAGAGAATCTATGATGAGGCCGATCTAGATCAGTCAAGACTCGACTGGCCCGGTTGGAGTCAGCAATGAATAGCCAGGTTGTCCATTCTAGATACCCAGCAGCCTCGGATCGAAGTTTGATTGGCCCTATATAGGTATATTGACCCAACTATATAGGTATATAGACCCAACTTCTTATGATCTACTTGTGGGGGGTGGGGGGGGCTCTTTCGAGGTTTTCTTTTTGAAGGTTTGAACTTTTCAACTATGCACGAGATTCCATCTCCATTAACGTAACCTATATATATATATATATATCTATGTATATACATATATAGGTACGGTTGGGTAGTTAATTTTGACGACTACAATATAGGTATATTAGACCCCACTAGGCCCCTAGGAACCCCTATGTACCACATTCGAAGCCAGCTGCTCATGTCCTGATACGGCACCCACGGTACCCAACCCAAAGCTAAGCCCTTCATCCGGAACCCACGATATGCAGAACCAAAGCTCCTGCTCAAACTTTGATGGTAGACCCCCTAGAACCAAGCTTGATGGGAAGTGCCAAGAAGCAGTCGTTGATCCACCTGCAGAAAGTCGGTACCTGGGCCGGGCCCAGGGGAATAAAGACTAAAACCCAAAGCTTACAGGCTAAGCCCACTATAGAAACTTCGTAAGCGTGCCCCATTGCGAGCCCAGTGGATACTGCCCCGGTAATGATCATCGGTATCTTAAATTCGTCACTTGTTCGAATCCCACGAACACACACAGCCGAAGGCTCTAGAGCTACAAGACGAAAATCTGCGGTCAGGCCGATCTGTCGAGTCTCGGTGGGTTGCATTGGAGTCAGCAATGTATAGCCAGGTCGTCCATTCTAGATATCCAGCAGCCTCAGATCGAAAGGGCATTGTTTGGTCGTAAAAAACCCAACTTCTCATGACCGGGGGCTCTGACGAGGTCATGCTTTTTGTTCTGAAGAAACTTTTGGGGTATCTGGGGCGAACTGCTGACTATGCACTGGGTTCCATTTGCATATCAACGTAACCTATACAGGTACGGTTGGGTATACCTAGTTAACATTTGACGACAATATATAGCACAGGTAATATATATTAGATCCTATAGGAACCCCAGGCCCTATGTACCACATTAGAAGCCAGCAGCAATTAATTCATGTCCTGATACGGCACCCACGGCACCCAACCCAAACCTAAACCCTTAATCCGGAAGCCACGATATGCAGAACCAAAGCTCCTGCTCAAACCTTCGATGGTAGACCCCCGGGAAGCAAGCTTGATGGGAAGTGCCAAGAAGCAGTCCTTGATCCACCTGTCCAGAGAGTCGGTACCTGGGCCGGGGGAACAAAACCGTAAACCCCAATGCTTAAAGCCTAAACCCTAAACTGATAAATAATACAACTACTTCGTAAGCGTGCCCCGTTGCGAGTCCGGCGGAAACTGCCATGCTCCGGTACTGACATGATCGTCGGTATCATGAATTCGCCAGTTGTCCCATTAAGTTCGAAACCACCAGCACCAACATGTACAGCGGAAGGCTCTAGAGTTGTGCAAGTGAGAATCAGCTAAGCATGATATGTGTGCACGGATCCTACGAAAATCCTTGAGACAATGTATCGGAACTGAGCCCAACACGACCCCTCATGAATCACGGAATCCTACCCTGCCCTAGGTGTGGGCGGCTCCGGCATTTGTGGCATCGCACATGCATCTGAGCTCGATTTCCCGGCTTGCAGACACTATGGAGGGATGGGCCGTTGCGTCAAGTGAGTCTCTAACTCTAGCTGCAGACCTCCAGGTCCGTGTTCGGATTTAGGGTATCGGGTCTTCGGGTTCGGTTTTCTCTTGTGGAGGGACAGGGGGTTCACAATTTTTGGGCTTAGGGCTTTGGGGTTTAGATGTAAAGGCCTTGACCCAAGACCGAAACTGCCACTAGCATATGTAGACAACACACACAGTCTCATACACCCTAGCAAGGCCTTGTATGCATACATTTACATACATACACTAGTACAGACACATGCACAGAAAGATGCATACGTGCATGCATGCATGTCGATAACACACACTACCTGCATGTGCTTGATACAAAGCTGCTTCCACACATAAAGGCTGCATGCTAACTACCATATATTGTTATACGTATGGAACACATATACATGCTCAAGGTAATCTGAGAACCGTGTGCCACAGTTGCCTACACAGCTGGGCATTGGGACTGATGATACAAGGTTTGCCCACCCCATCTGTACAATCCGATGTGCGGAGGTCGCACACACTTCGAATGGCTGGCACTTTTAGAAAAGCGAGCCTTCAATTACAAATCATCCGAGGGTGCACCACAAATCACGACAAGGCCCAGCTACACGAATCTAGAGGTGCCCAAATTTGTTACGGCCCTAGATCGAGCATATATGCACAAGACAGAAGACCCTAACCTCTAAAGCCGGACCGACGACCCCAAGCTGCTAATCGGATGACCCTCAAGCCCTAACCTTGTAGTCGCACCTCGGATCCAGTATCCTAGGAGAAATCCTACGGCGACTCCTCGGGGGCCGCGGGCTCTGGCTTCTCCTCCCATCCGGCGATGATCTTCGCAAGAAACCACCTGGGAGGCAAAGATCTAGGGTCCAGCCTAAATATTTAGGGTGCAAGGCTTAGGGTTGTGTTTTTTACTTATAACTAAGAGCTTAAAATTTAAGCTGTGTTCCTAGGGTTTCGGAATTCGAATGGGCGGCTCACAATATTAATTTTAAATATTTGTTCAAGATCAGCCACATCTCCGGCACCGGGCCCTTGCTCCAAGCGAGACAGGTTCCACCCTTCCCGTCAACCTGG